TCTTCTGGGCCCACTCCAGGTGGGCCTCCAGGGTCCAGCTGCCCACAACCACGATGTTCTTGCCCTGCTCTTTGTCCTAGAACACACAGGATGAGCTGTATTCAGACGGGTCCATCTGATACTCAACCCCCAGCCAACATCCCACCAGCTAAACATACAGTCTACCGGTTAATCACAACATTAACATTTAGTGAAACAACAGTTGGTTTCAGTGACATTACAGCCATGCATCATAATAATAATAATCTGGGGCAAAATTTTATAAAATACAAACTTTAAATTTTATATAATAATGCAACCTTGAAAGAACCACATTTGAAAATGTAATGGTAAATCCCCTCTGCTGGTGATCATTAAGACACCCCATACATGAAATGTTGAGGTTTAATGTAGAAAAAAATAAGTTGTACCTCATGGTATTGGTGAACATGTTTCCCGTAACAGAACTCATATTTCCACCAACCCACTCCCTGGAACACAAGAAACAAGTCCTTAATTCAGGAATAACACAATGACTTTCTTGGCTTCGAGCTTAAAATTGGACTTATAAATTAGGGGTTCCTGTATTAGATTTCATGTTGTCTCCTTCACTGCTTTCATTTCAGGGTGAACGGGCCAGGTCCATATGCAGCCTTATATAAATATCAGAAATTGCCCTGTGCTTACCCCATGCAGACAATATGAGCCGCTCAGGAATTCCTTGATTAGCTGTTCATCTGTCAGGCGGGAGATGTGGGTGGTTCCCACGGCAACCTGCGTCTGGCCACCCACTGCAAGAGGCTTGTGAGTGGTGGAAAAGAGGTCTTCCCTCACAGGAGACATCTCTTCCTGTTAGGGCAAGAGTCAATGGACAAAGGTTATGGTAACAACAGGCCGGTCATACAGCTCAAATAAAGATTAAAACATGGTCCTGAAGAACTCCAGCACCCCTCCCTGCCTCTCACCTCCCTCTCCGGAGGGGCGCTAAAAGGGGGCTTCACCAGCTCCTCCTGCTCCCTGTCAAACTTGGAGAGGCGCTGGGGTCGCAGAGGAGAGTCGGACAGAGCCTGGCAAAAGATGGCGTTCACCGGGGAGCTCTTGAACCTGCAGAGAGAGAGAGAGAGAGAGAGAGAGAGAGAATCTGACCATCCACATGGGCGCAAACTGAAACGAACCACTTCAGTTATCAAACACTTTAATTTACAATGAAACAATTTAACTCCTTTTGCTACTTGGATAGAAATAAGAACAACAACAACAACCACCCAACTAGTTACATGTTCTCTACCAATGTGCAGCCTGTTTCGTTTCAGCTGTATAAAACACCCATATATATATGTGTGTGTGTGTGTGTGTGTGTGTGTGTGTGTGTGTGTATGTGTGTGTCTGTGTGTACAGTATGTGCACTACACAGAGGGTAAACATATCACATCTGGTATTCACTATTTTAAAACAATTACTCCAGCACACGTATTGATTTCAGTGGCCAGGCTGCCGTGCGTTTGCCCCATGGAGCAAGGCAGCAATCCACAGCCCCCCGTACCTGTACTGGGGGTGCCCACAGAGCAGTGGGGTGAGCACGACCACCTCGTACTCGCATGTGATCACCTCCGCGATGGAAAGGATCTCGTGCTTCGCCTCTGGGTGGCAGACATACAGCACAGAGGTGGAGCGAGGCTGGTTCTGCTTCAGCACACAGGGCGTTCCGTTGCCCATCTCCACAGGGTGGTAGGGGGTCAGCTGACCCTCCAAGTTCTTGGTGGGCACCTGGGGGAAATTGGGAAGGACAGATGAATGCCAATAGAGGGGAAAGTGACGAAATGGACACCGAGTGAATATTGAGGTCTCTCATTTTGGATGGATCTGCAGGGAATGGGGGGGGGGTATTTTGTCGTTTTATTATACCAACCTCCTTTTGGCTCTCTGTGTTCTCAGAATCAGCCTCAGTTTCAGTTTCGGTTCCTGTAGGGGTAATGATGTACACAGATACACGTCTCTCACATCATCCCCACGAGAAAAAAAAAAAAAAAAGCATCAGCAGTATCATAAAGACTCCACAGACCCCAGCTCTCACCCGCTGCAGACGCCTCACTCTTCTTGATCACTCCAAGGTAATACTCCTGGATATTGATCTTCTGCAGAAAATAGGTACCTGAAGTCATGCTCTGTTCAGATTTTGTTCACTTCCTCTGCATTATCTATACACCCTTAAAAAGATCATTTAAACCCTTAAAATATTCCCATCATATAATTTTATTTCAAGCCAGTTTCATGGGGGGAGCATTCCACTTTAAACCTTAACACATAAGTATATCTCTCAAGTAACACCAGATGTATGGTGCAGTGTGTAACACCAGCATGGCTCAGAGGAGTTCAAATGGTAGATTCACCTTCAGGGGGTGGGTGGTGGTTAAAACAAAAGCACGTCTTCTGTCCTCCCTTACCTGCCCCATCTCTTTTTCCTCGTGGTACTGCCTCACATGCTTCCCGTGGCAGACCTCATATGTCCAGTAAGACTCAATCTGGAACACATGACCACAGCTTAACCTATCAGAACAATCCCAAAAACCAACATCTATGCCCATCCCACGCGTCTGAAACAGCATGCAACAGCCTTGAAGATTCACACTAGGACTGTGCCATATCATTCCATCCACGCTAATACCGGTATAAATTTTTACATGATTAAAAAAAAAAAAATGTAGTGTCATATTGCAATATCAAATGACATAGAGACCTGATGCATTTACGTTCCACAGCGCGTACAAAGACACAAGCCCAAACATACCGCATTTAATTAGTCTCATTCTTTTCAGCACAATACTCACTCATTCGCTTGCTCCTCTCCATGTGCTGGCATCGCTATGGGAGCACTGACATTCTAACTTACCTCATTTCATGGTATATCCATTATATGTTTACACAAGAAAGCAGAGGCAATGCAACAGTTCCAGCACTGATATTCTACCTCATTTGATTGAAATGTGTAAAAAAAAAAGGTAACTGTTAAAAGTTGACGGCTTTTTTTTTTTATTTTAATAAGCATTGAGTGTTTACAATTTGACCTGAAGGTGCTGTTTGTTTACATTGGTACTTAAAATTTGAGGTTAATTTTATTAAGTGAAAATATTGTGCAGGCTCCTGAAGAGTTATAAGGTTAAGTTACTTTAGTTATTGTTAAAATAAAGTGATAAGCAGCTATAGTTTTAATTACGATTTCCAAAACACTACCTAGGCTACTTTTTATTTACTTTCGACTTCTGTATATTGGTCACTGTATATAATTCTGTCACTGCTATTGCACTGCAATGCTGCTGGTGGCACCTTGCAGCAATAGATCCACACTTGGAGCAGATGGATGGAAAATGCCCTTTACCTTATTTGCACTAATAAATGCTGCTGCCTGCAAGGTGCAATCACCAAAAAACCGTTTAAAAGTGTTTTTTTTTCCTGTATCGTTATAAATATCATTATCGTAAATTTCCTTGAAATATCGTGATATAATTTTGAGGCTATATCGCCCACCCCTGCATAGAAACAAGCATAACTCCATGCAATAAAACACGTATGATACTCGTATCATAGACTGCTGGAGTGTCTACAACCTGTAAACCACAGGTCCATACCTGCCTTAAAGACTAGCTCACCATCAGCAAAACAGCCTCACACTGCACTCCAAAATCAATCTGAATAACAACATAATTAATGCATTCAAAGTTAATGACAGCTTAAGACAAATGCTCAACTTACCCTGTAGGAACAACTGCTCTGTTTGAACAGTGGTTCTAACAGATCCGACGGGCTGGGTCCACCGTACTGCTTTTCCTCACTCTGAGTAGTCAAGGTGTAGCCAAGGATAAAGAACAAAAGGGCCCGAATTCAGTGTCGACTTGCAAAACTACAAATACAGGGCATTTATTTCTTACTCATCTACTGGTCCGTCATGGTATGTATTTGACAACCTTTCATCACAGGTGTCAAGAAGCAACGTTGACGTGAACAGAATTTTGTATTGTGGAACAAAAACTCACCTCATCGGCATCGGATAATGAAGGCAGCAGACATTTATACCGCTCCTTGTCAGGGGTAGTCATAATAAGAAAGTCATCTTCTTTGTACAGTGCGCCCGAGGTTGGCTGCAAAAAAATTTAATCACCGTAGTTAAACAGCTAGAGACATTTTTATTTCACACACAATATCCATCATATTAGGGAACCTGAATTATTGACAAGTGCATGACTTGGATTTAAAGAAAATATATTTTCGCGTAATCGAAAGCAATAATTGCTACAGATAAAGGCATACTGAAACAACGACGAAACATTTATTTAAAGCGCGCCATCACGGAACTAATCGTATATTCATAAAAAATGCTTATGCACAATGCGACAACAGAAAATCCGTTCACCACCTTGAACGTTCATGTGTATCTTTTTTTTTTCCTTTTGCTGCAAGTGTAGCCACGCGGACTTAACGGTCAGTCATGCATATACACATATTCGTTTACCAGTGCGAAATCGGCCCCAGGCCAATTGATTTTGAATGGGATTTCATCAGTAAAAGGAGACGATGCCGCTTTGCCCGCCGTAACATTGCGAAGCACCTCCAGCGCCGCTAAAAATGTCACCAATATTGTATCCAAGTACATTCCCCTCCCCGCCTGGGCAAGCCCGCCGCCTGCTCCTACGCCGCTGACTGATTGCTATCCTCCGCAAAGGACGGCGATCAGGCTATTTGCCACCTCAGTTTCGGAGGCGTTGCAACTTACGAACCAGCTGGCTACCGTTCATTAGCCATCTTACAAACAGGAAGTGGTGTGGTAACTGCCACGTCCACTTCCGGTACACACAGCTGTCAAGTAGACCCAACATCCGGGTTACGGGCTCTGCGTGCTATCAGGCCTTGGCATTCATACGACCTTTCCGGTTGTTGTGTGTAGTGTACCACGATATCTTATTGAAAACCTTGTTGTAGTTTATAAAAAAAGAAAATTACAGATAAAAGGACACTACACGTACACGTGTTTCTGGTATTGGATAATTTATTTAACCAAGTCAAACACTTCACTTCGCGTTAATTAGCAACAGTAACTACCTAAAACATAACACACGTGTAAATATATGCGTGTGGGATGATTTGTGTCATTAAGCTATTTCGGGGGAAGGTTTTTTTTTAAATTATTCACTATGAAATATTAAGCTGCTGTTTTTCAAAACTTTAATGCCCAAGTTACATTTACTTTGACATTAAGACAATATACACCTATAAGTATTCCGAACAAAAGAAAAGTATACACGATGTATGGAAAGTGGCATACTAGTTTGCGGGCCTCGGCATATCGAAGTGCTAATATTAATTTAAGGTGGAGCAAAAAATAGGGGAAATTACAGTGTGTGCTCTCCATAATAGATTCTGCATTCATTTGAGATCCACATTAGCTGTAATAAAGTTCTAAATACAGCTTTAAATACATTTTGAATAGCAGTGTTGCCTCACACCTTCATGCCTAGGGGTTCAACTCCCACTTATGCTCTGTGTGTACAGGTTTCCTCTGACAGTCCAAAGACATGCAGGTCAGCTATCTGGCCTTTCTATGTTATTCAAGGGCTGTGTCTGAATTCATGGGCTGCATCCTTCGATAGTGTATAACTGTGTATGTACCCTGCAATAGACTAGCATCCCATCCAAGATGTGCCTCAGCCTTGTGCCTTATGCTGGAAGAAGATGGCTAGATAATTATTGTGAATTTCTAAATGTGAGTTTTATCTGAGAGAATAGTCCTCCAGTTCTGTTTTTCAGGAATGTCAAGAAATTTGCTGCAATAACTCCAATCTAGAGGTGTTGCTATTTCTCACTTTAAACTATGTTACAAGTAAAACCTGTTGCTAGTATTTCATTATGACTAGGTATGATTAAAATGAAAGCACCACTGAGTCAGTTTTCAAATAGTTGTAAAAATCTAAAACATGACTCACAGGTTATATGTAGTCCTAGATCTGTCCCTGAGGTCACCCCTGCATTCTGACATCACAGATGTCCTTTTCTAAGCCTTAGTCAAATCTGATACACAAATAAAGTAGATGTCAGCTAAAAATGTGGCTCAAGTTGGCCTACTTTAGATCTATTTAGGCTGGTCTAAGGCCTGTGCTTTTTGGAGTAGCTCTTTTACGATTCGCTCCAGGGAGAAGAGGTGTTCGTCTGAGTCCTCTGGTAACAGGTTCCGAATGGCATCAGCGAGCTCAAACAGGTACTCCGTGTTATGGCCACTGGGTCCCACAGAACTGAGGATCTGATGGGCGATGTTTTCCAAGGGAGCAGGGCCAAGGTAGTTAGGGTTGTCACATGTCCCAATGTAGATTAGAGTTTCACAGGGCTCCCTCTGGGGCTCTTTGTCATAAAAGATTGCACTAATCACCCTGTAGCCTCCTTTTTCTCTGTAGTCCAGGAAGTCCTTGACTTCTTGTTCTTTCCCTGAGGGCAATTTGTAAGCAACACCCCACACGCAGCCCTACATATGGAGGCAAAGTAACAGGAGGTCAGTTATACATCATATAAAAAAATCTAAGAAAGCATAAATTTCCATTCCAGCATAATTTTCCATTCCATTTTTAAGTTGTACTGGCTGCCCAATCTCAGCAAAAAGATCAATTTCACAAAAGGACTTCCCAAAACGCAAAGCTCTTGTCTTTTATTAACATTGCCTTGTTGTTTGGCTCCAGCCAATCATCTTGCACCCATAATTTTCTAATCATCTCACAGAAGTCTTAAATTATCTTAAGCTTGTGTTGTTACTATAACACAGGTACAAGAAAAGAACCAAACTAGACAGAGAAGGGTTATAGCCATGTAATACAAGACTATAAATGAATTAATTATATTGCGTTAAAAGTATGATACATATAGAAATTTGTGGTTAGTCACTGTACAATATAGTCATATCCTTGACAACTGGCCCTGTGTCATTTTCATAATCTAATTCAGAACCAATTAATAAGAGAACAAAATGAATAGGGGCAGCTAAATAAACATGTTATTTACATCATGAGAGCCTTGTGTCGTGAAATAAAGACAGTACAGAAATAGTACACAGCCTTTTAAAGCCTTACCTCAGGGTTTTCTACCAAGGTGACTACTCTGCCAGGCTATGGATAAGAGAAAGTTAAAGTTAAAATGGCAAATAATAATCAATATACGGGGAATTCTCGTCTATTTATTACGAGAGAATGAGAAGCAATGTACACATTTACATGATGAAGTACAGTACAGAGTATAGTTAAATTTGGGTAAAAAAAAATCACGAACTACTGTCGAGTAAAATATGGTTTCCTCAAATGCAGACTGATATGCTGACTGATCAGCGTCAGTTGGACGTACATTTTTGTATTTACTGTCTACTTTACCTGTCCAGGTACCCCGCGATGGTCAGTACTGCCCTGCCAAAATCTGCGACTAAATCCCCTGATGTAACCGATTCGCTTCTCCTCGTAAGGAAAGTCAACTTTCCAAATCAAGGACCCGTATCCAAAAACCCACATTTCGTGAGAAATCCAGACGATAAGCTGATAAAGTGACTACAAACTACGTTGGAAAACGAATGCCTTTTTGGCTGAACCTGTCACAATAGACCGACATACTGCAATTATATCCAGCTCAAGCCACAAATGCTTCCTCCCGGAAATAGAATACAGCGAATAGAAACCTTGAATGGCAATTAGATTAACCAATCAGATGTGAGAGGGGACGTTCCCTTAACGCGACTATTTACTTGTATATTCAATAAGTAGGTAATACCTCCGAGGTATTAGGTGTTACTTAATAAAAAACTCTAACAAACTTGTGCGATGATGTATTACCTGTGTCTTGAATTTATTGTTTGGGTTTCGGATAAGCTGGTTAGCTAACATTAGTTAATGTATACTGCTCACAAAACAAGTTGTGTAATTTTGTGCCTGTTGTGGCATTTGGCTAGTTTCAGTTGAGCGCCCTCGGAGTTACTGTAATGAAATTTAGAGCTATTATTTTAGATTAGGATGTAACTTATTATAACTTATAATTATATTGCGTTTTCATGATGTTTACGGCGTATAGACAGTCAGGTTAAATATCTTTTGCTACCTTCACAGGTGCTACCCATAGACGAATTGTACATTTACATTTACAGCATTTGGCAGACGCCCTTAGCCAGAGCGACTTACACAAGTGCTTTAAGACTCTACAATGAATTTTTCCCGATACTAGCTCAATAAAACCAAGGCTATGAATACCATCGATCTAATACTCTGTTGGGAAAGTGCGTTTTTTTTTTATAAAAGGAAAAAACTGAGTATAATGCCAGAAGTGCTAATTCAGGTATTTCTGGAAAAGGTGTGTTTCAAGTCGTCTTTTGAAGACATTCAGTGACTCAGCTGTTCGGACATCTAGGGGGAGTTCATTCCACCAACTTGGTGCCAGAACAGAGAAGAGCCGAGAGGCGTGCCTTCCTTATACAAACACAGATTTTACGCACTTCTGCTTGCACATTCGGTTACATATTGCACATAATTTTCTATCAGAGTCACAACTTGTGTCACTCCATTTGTAATTAATATAGCAATAGAATATTCTGTACTAGACAGTGTATTGCCAAGGTAACGAGGGGGTGTGGCTCCCTACATGCATGGACCCAGAAGGGGAAGAGCAATACTTAATTAGTAATAACCGGCATATTCTGCTGACATAATGGTGCCTAAAATTGCTAGATTCCACAGCCTGGGATTTAAGGTATTTGAATTTATATATGTGCTATACTTCGAGATGTTTTTATTAAGTAACATCTTATATATGTGCTATACTTCGATACATGTTCAGGTGAATCAGAGTTGCCAAACTGCCCACATAGTTAATCCTGCACAGGTACGAAAGCTGAATGGCTGGCACTATGGTAAGGACGTCAGTCACTTTTGACACTTTTAACACTGCATGAAGATGACTTAATTAGTGTGATGGTGAGTAATGTCCATATTTTTAGGGCACTGTAACAAAGAATAAACAAATTCATAGTTAAGATCTGCCATTTAAATTTGCATCAATTTTAACGATGGCTCCTCCCCAGCCCCCAGGGTTACCCCTTTCGCTTTTTCCTGTCTAATAATCACTCAGCATGTCCTGATGTACCCCGTGACCCTAGCCAGACTAAGTAGTCAGAAGCAGATTGATGGCCCTATGTAAATTCATCATTGATCAACATTTTATAAAAGCTCCTAACAAACAAGTAAGGTTTGATTGTGGATCTCTGGCCTTGTCGGCAAAGACGAAAATAGCCACTAGGTGTCAATGTTCTGCATGTGACATAAGGTCCTTCTGTCCTGCCAGTAGAAATCTGTGCAATCGAAGGTAGACGACTGTTCAAATCTCCTCAAGCTTAGACATCTGTATCATTTTGTGCTCGATTATATATTAAGTTGCACATAAATTTGTTATCTAATTGGATTGATATGAATATATTGTCACCATTTATTCAATTCTACACAGGAGGAGCCATATGTCATAGTGCAAAAACTGCTGATGCAGTAAATAAGCAAATTAAGCTGAGAAATGAAATGACCCTCCTCCCCTGTTTATACTGAGCAGATGTTGCTGTATTTTGCATGGAAAGACAAACTCATGATGCCGTACTTTCTCCTCTGGCGTGGGAAAATGAATGTGGTGTCTGGAAAATTTTTACTCTTGAATATTTGACAAAAGAGCCAATTATGTGTGGTATATGTAAATAAGTTTTATATATGTAAATGAGTAGTGGGTTTCGGTTATGAAATTGTTTGATAAAGCACCTGGAACTGTGAGCGAGTGGGACGTGTGGCCTTGTGGAGTTTCACCTTTTTGCATAAATCTGGTTGGTGAATTATATTGCATTCATGCTCACTGATACCATGTTGCTGTGCAGAGCAAGGAAGCTGTTATTATTGTATAGAAGTTATGGGGGAGAAAATGCAATGAAATATGAATAAGCATGTAGTCATGATTTTAGATGGATGCAAGGAAGCACACTATAGTTTGCTAGTACAATCTTGTTATATCATTCTGTTAGCATGCTAAATCAGGCAGTAGTCTATGCTAAAGTAAATCACTAAATTAGGGGCTTGTGGGAACTGCCTGCCAATTGTGCAAATGCTAGGTGGGTAAAAGCTTGCAGAACAGCAGTGAGGTTTATGTACTTCCAGGCTTCTTTTTTCATTATTATTTATGAAGGAAGAAAAAAAAACTTTGGTTACATTTTCATAGTACTTAGATACATTTTTATCCAAGAAAATTCATTTAAATTCTTTTCTACCAATGCTATGACTTGTTATAAGCAAATATGTACAAATTTGTATTCAACTCCCGTATCAAGGTGAAGAGCTGCTCTTTGAACAAAAATAATTAAGAGGCATAACGTGGATTCAGGATTAAGCTAAAACTTTCTGAGACACTTAGTGATGGCTAATTTGAAAGTGCAGTGTAGTTGTTTGACTAACGGCCCTTTGACAAGTAGGATTAAACTGCTAACTGCAGATATGTCTCATTTTACTAGAAATCACGTGAATGGCAAATACACACACACAGACGAACACACACACACACATACAAAACCTTGCAGCACACATACTGAACAAAAACACTGAAAAAAGTTTTTTTTTTTCACATAGAGGTTGGAATACATGGATCCCACCATCATTGTATTTTTCGACCACTTACTCAGTACAGTGTCATGAGAAGCCTGGAGCCTATGCCAGGAAGTACAGGGCACAAGGCAGGGGGCATCCTGTATGGGATGCCAGTCCATCACAGGGTGCAAGCACACAGGCAATCACACAGACAGTATATCCTGCCTGAACACTCTGTACATGCATATAGTGTAGTAGATAGTATGTGTGATTCATGGGTGATATATCTGATTCTTTTGGAAGTGTGCACAGAGAGATGCCCTGCATCACTGAAGGCAATGCTAAGGAATGCCCTCTTCACCTCACCGGGCCTGTGATGGCAGTGTGTTACATAGGAAAAGAGACATACCAGGGTCTGTGCTAAAAGGGAAGTCCATAAAAGGAAGGATTTAGAAGGGACATGGAGTTTGTCCAGCTGCTCCTTGTTTGCGGTGATGCCATCAGCATTGGAGAAAAATTCTTGGGGGATGGAGATTTGAGAGCTGGCTTTTTCCATGATCAGTATTCCATTTGCTTAAAGTAAAACCCTCTGCTTTTACTTTCACTGGATAGATTCCAGTGCGATTCCTCCCCTCCTCCCTGCTGCATTTTGTATTCCGCTCCTATTCCATAGCACAAATGTTTTAATGGGATATGTGGGAGAAGTTGAAAGGTTCCGTGCCGCAGGAAACTGAGGTCACTGGGGTCTTTTAAACCAAGAGTGCAGAATTCGAGCCATTCGTCAGACTATCATCAATCTGACAGCGTTCCAGCATTAGCCAATAGTTATCTGCTGTTCTGCATATTAAGACTGTCACAGGTTTTTTAACTATATCTTGATAGGTTTCATGTTGAGGGGCAATGAACGTCACATAGGCAGGACAAAAGTGTGAGCAAACCAAGGCCCTTTAGGAAAGCTAAACTAAAAAGGGATACACAGGAAATCAAATATATTGTTAAAACAAGGGGAAAAAAAAGACTAAATTAAGGCAGTAATTTCACAGACCTGACAGGGAGATACAGTACCTCAGGCTCCCAAAACCCCCTTGATCTGCCCTACTAAGCCTATTTGTCCATAGCTTGGTGCCCCATCCGGTAAGTACTGTAGCAGCTGAGTTTCATTAACAAGGCCTCAGTGTCTGGCGATCAGTTCCCCTGGTAATGCATGAGATCCCCCAACCTGGGCCGATGGTGCTGCTCTGCTTCTCTCCAGTTCAAATATAATGATATCGCACCCCGTATTAAAAATAGCTTGTTGAAGCAGCAGTTCTTAAAAAAATGAGCCAAAGCCTGTCACTATTTTTTATTCATCTGTTATTTTGTCATGGCACATATTCAACAGTTTGCCCGTGGCTGTTTTGCCTGAATCCTGCATTATTTATGGGAACTAGTGAAAAGAGACACACCTTAATACATAATAGGGAGCTAAGTAAGTGCTCACTGACACCCCCTGTTGGCCTGTGAAGTGATTACAACAGCAGAGGATGGAGGTTTCATAGCCAGAATACTCTGTAATAGGCAGTGAAGCAAGAAGATATATGAGAAAGAAACCTGGTGGGAGCCAGTATAAAAGTGTCTTGAGATGGAGTACTCGAAAAAGGCCTTTATTTCTTTGTGTTTAAAATTGCTGGCATGGTTTCTGAAGAAACACTTTGTGCTTTGTGAACTAAATAACACTAATGACTGCTTACTGCTTGTAATGATTTATTTAACCATTATACAGCAATGAGAAACATATCCGCTTTATATCTGTACAGCAGACATCATCTAAACACCTAAACATTAATCCATGGCATATTAACATATGTAAGATATTGATGGCTACAGTTAAATGTGTAGATTTGCTGTGTGTGCACGTGTGTGCATGTTAAGTGTGTGGATTTGCTGTGTGTGCATGTGCGTGCATGTTTGCTATGTGTGTTATTTAGTTACACAAACACGCACATAGATGCTTAGAGGCAGGGAGAGATACATTTTGCACATAATGTATAAAGAGCACATC